TAAAATTTTAAACCGCCAAACCGATTCACATCCATCTACCAAACCACCAAACCATTCAATCCTCATCCGCCGAATTGGCGAACGGATGCGGATTGATTTTCTCTAATTCGCCAATCTGGTGGACGGATGGCGGATTGGAGGTTCCATGGCTACAACCGACCCGTGCGCACCTCGAATGAATATGAGCCTCTTTGACTCAACAAGAAGAAAGAGAATGAAAGAAAATCTGGAGAGGAAAAGAGAGTGCTCTGGAAAGAGAGGAATGAAGAGAGGAAGAAGAAGAATCAAAGAAAATTGAAGGGAAATCAAGCAAATCTTCTCCAATTAACCATTTAAGGTAAGAATCTTCTTCTCATTTCTTAAAATTGGGTTGATACACCCATGATCTCATGGAATTGAAGTTGAATGAGGATGTATTGTGTTGTATTTCACCCTAGAAAGCATATATAAGCACACATGGCAAGAATTGAAGGAAATTAACTCTCAAATTCACCATGCATAGCATCTTTTCTTGAATTTCGTGATCATACATTTATTTTCTTGCATGGTTTTCAAAATTGAAGGGGAAATTCATGAGTAATTAAGAATTCATGGAGAGAAATTGGAGTTGAGGTTATATAATCATTAAAAAAAATTGAGAAATTAAATGATTTAATTCTCAAAACTCAACATGCATGGCTTGATCTTGTTTATATACATGATATTATTGTTTTATACATAATTTATTGCATGAGTCTCATGAATTTCTAAATTCGCCAAAGGATTTCTTCATGGGTTTTACAATTAAAGCTTCACAACACATGATTTATGTTTTGTAATTTCATTAAAGTTTTAATCATTCTTCAAATTGGAAGATTTGGGAGGTGATTTCAAGTTTGATCCCTATTTGATGTTGAAGGCCCGAATTCTAGCATGTTTATATGAGTTTTTGGGAGTGAAATGCATGAAAATGAGGTTGAAATTGCAAACTTTGAGCTTCACACATGAAACAGAATTTCGAAAAACAGGGCACAAAATCTGCTGTGATCCACATGTGCAGATCAGGCATCCCACACGTGCGGTTTTGGTCAGGCTCGGGTTTTGTTTTCGCATCATTTTTCTACCTTCCGAGCCATCGTTTGCATAGGTTTAAAGTGTTTTTCTTGTGCATTTGCATCTCACGAGTGCATTGGAATGAATGAATGAAAAGTTAGAACCGAATGAGTGAAGACGAATGGAAATTGAATAAGTAAATAACAGAATCAAGTTCGAACATTTGTATTTTTTTTAGAAGTAGATATTCGAATATTTATAGTTTGTTTGGAAGTTGATATTTGAACGGCACAAATGGTGTGTACTAAGACAAAATGTGGTGCGTAAATAGAATCACCCATAATACCTAGAAGAAGACTACACCAGAAGGACGGATCTTCATTTTTGTAGCCCTAATTGCAAGTTGCGAACTCAAGGTTTTTAGATTTCGGCAATAGCAAGACCAAACCAGGTCTTCTCCTCCTGTCTCAGTCAATCTCTCTCTTGATTATGGTCTTTCTCTTTATTTTATCTCCTTTTCTATTACTTTATGCTTTGATTTAAGGTTTTGTTGAGATTTTTTGCAAAAACTAGTGTGTTCTTTGAAAAGTTAGTTAGTTTTCCAGCAAAACCATAAAGTTTTGGACATTTGAATTTCACCCACAATCCCATTTTAGACTGAAACGTGTTTCTACCTTGAGAGAATCGTGTTTCTTGCACGTTTCTTTCCTTACGTTTCTTAGGAAGAAACGAGACTCGTATGAGCGATTATTGGAACCAAGTGTGGGATACGTGTCCGACAATCATAGCCAATTTAGACACTTGAATAATTTAATTTGTGACGATATATGAAGAAGAATAAACTCACATTTGCTAGGAAAATAATATTTTTAGCCTCACATAAATTAGATATAGAAATTTCATATTTTTCTTGAATCCTATTTAATTTCAAGAATATTTCTACATAATTTACAACATCTCATCTCATCTAAGAAAATTATACAATATGCAATATATATATATATATGTATTTTGTGTATATTACTTATCCATACCTATATCCAAATTTGGATATGTATCCCAATATCCTAAATTTTAATTTATGAAGGTCTGACGTTTGGATACACACCTTCACATGATACTCATACTCGAGTCCATGTAACATAGCTCAAAACAACCACATAGCAAGATATAAACACAATAGCACTGTCTTCAAATGTTTATATTAAAATGCAACATTTCATGTTGCAAAATATTAATTTTCATTACAATAAAATTTTAAATTTTCATTTAACAACATATAGTATAAAAAATACCTTTACAAATTCAAGATCCAAATACAATATAAAAATTTTTAGCAACTAAATTCTTTTACAAGTTTACCACCAAAACCATATGTCACAAAATTGGGAAAGGAGGACAAAAATGTCAGTGCCAAAAAGGCCAACAGCCATGTTTTTATTCTCCCCTTTCCATATATTATTAATAAACTACTTGCATATTTTGTTATTTATCATACACAATGCTATTTCATTAAAAGTGGTATGGATTGGTTCAATTTAGGAGTAAACAATTAATTATGGTTCTATGAAATTTTAAACCAAACTAAATCATGAAAATTTTAGAACCAAATCAATAAACCCTAATTCGATTTGATTTGGAATCACGATTTTTAGAATTCTGTTTAGGTAATTGTTTAGATATAACAACAAACTTTGAAGAATAAAAAGTTGCAACTTATGCATATATATTTGACACTGATATTTGGATGCTTAATAAATTATATATATAGATGCTTAATAAATTATATATATGTATAAATGGTCTAATTATGAAATTATGGACTGAACCATAAAATACGTTTTATTTATTTTAATAATCAAGACTGAACTGTGTATTGAGAAAATCAAACCAAACTATACGGTCTAGATTAGTTTGGTTTGCGACTTTTTCAATTTTTTTCTCAGCCCTATTTATCTATCTATCTATCTATCTATCTATTATATAAGAAAAATGGAGTTTTTAACTCACAAGTCTTGTGGAAGCTCCAATATTCTAATCTTAATTTTCTAATTTTTTGATTTTAAAAAAAAAAAAAACCTCAGCATTTATTGAGTTCTCCCAACCCACAAGCCTTTTTGACTTCTTCCATACTTACTACCACACCCTTTTCAACTTTTCTCATACACTATGGTTAGTGATGAGATTGTTAAATTATTTTTATAAAAAAATCTTGAAAAAATACTTTGAATATTAAAAAAATATCTAAAACAAATATAATTTATTTTTTAAAAAATAACAGGTTGCAATTGCAGGAAAAAAAAAAAGAGAGAGAGAGAGAGAGAGAAAAAATTACATTGTGCATTTCATTCATAATGCTAAAAAAATGTGCTAAATGTTTGTGTAAAGACTTGACACGTATCCAGTCTCAAATTATCAAGTGAATATAGATGAAACCAAAAAACCTAGCTTTAATGAGTAATAAGTATTAGAAGTCCGACCATTGAAGCCTAATAACTATTAATCAATAGAATTCAATAATTGAAAGGTCTCAAACCACATCTCTTTATCTTCTCAAATATTCTTTTTTTTTTTTTTTTGGTTCATGCATTCATTCTAAAATTGATAGAGAATTGGATGTGAGGAAGAGTGAGAGACATTAAAATTATATATTGAGTTTTGTAATTTTTGTGATGAAAAATAAAGGTTTTCCCTTCTATGACGATTTATCTGGTTATACCTCCAAATAAAACGTCAGGTGTACTTTTACATCGTTATTGAGCGTTGCTTCCATTTTTTTAGATACTTTGTCTTACAATTGTTTATGTTTTGTGTTATGAAATTTATTACATCTGTGTTTGCTAAAGCTATTAAATGGACCTAATGCAAGAAGTGCAGACTATTTCAATGTCATTCTCGAGATTATAAGTACAAAAAATGTACACGAAAAGTATATGAATAGACAAGATTTTACAAAATTTGTTTGTGAGTCTCACTTCTTGAAAATCATATAATTAGTTTAGTTTTTGTATTATATTTTATGTTTAGTTTCTGTATTTTTTTTATATATAGTTTTCTTTGTTTTCTTTAAAAGTTTATTTTTAAAAATAAATAAATAAATCATTTTCTATTTCAAACAATTTCATTTTTGTCTTTATTTTTTTATTTTTTCTTAAAGTAGTTTTAGTTTTGGACAATTACTTACTTTTTTTTTTCTTCTATATATTGTAATTTTGGTCATTTTAAGTATATGGTATTTTCACTAATACATTGGGAGATGCTCTATAAAAGAAATATGATGCGGAAATCAAGTAAGAAGAAAAATAAATCAATAAATAATACGATGAATGTGGAGCAAAGATCAAAACTCCCAAAGCATGCAAGCAAGCAAACAAATAAGTATAATAGAATATTTAACAATAGACATTTGAAAATTTATAACAAATTTTTATAACTTTCCTTTTTGCTAAGAAAATTCTATTTGGTACTAGCTAAATAAAATGCTTTTAAAATAGTTTTTTTTTTAATTGAAATTAAAACTATAGTAAATTTATGTAAGCATAATTGGCGACCATATTTTTTTACTTAATGTATAATATTATTTTGACTAACTTTTTCAAGTTTATTTTTTTAAGTATTTACATAGAAGTAGAAAAATGTCGTTACGAATAAATTTTTTCTTAATTTAGTTATAAATTTTGCCCGTACATTATTTTTAAATTTTGAATAAAAGCAAACATAAAATAATTGATAAAGATATGCTGCATTTGTTATATTCCTTTTTTCTATGAGAAAAAAAGGACATTTAAAAATCACAATTAACATATATACAAATAATTATAAACATAATCGGTACATAGCATGGATGGAACACTTGTGTGTAGATTCCACACTCATATAAGAGGTTTGGTAGAATATTTAGGTCCATAACATTTTCCCACTAATTTGACAATAAAAACATAGATAGATATAGTTATTGTGCCACGTACCTTGCATTGGGAGACAGCCAAGATAATGATTGTTGCCTATATCCAACGTTTCCAAGTTTCTCAATGCTACTAATTCTGCAATAAGAATATATATATATATATATATATATGAGTAAGTAAACTATGGGTGATTATTCAATATTACCAGAGTATGAACACGTGGAGAGGCGTAAGGGCCCACAATTTATATTGGAGATAGAGGAACAATATGGGGCTAAGTAATTGGTGATTAGCTTGGAGTATAGTCACGTAGTGTTCCGAAGTATTGAATAATTTCCCGTAAACTATATGTATAATTAAAGAATCTCTATATATATATAGAAATAGAGACAGAATAGAATTGTAGGAGCCCTAGGAAAAGGCATGGAGGGAAAACGTGCCATGTGCAGGGAAGTATCCGCCCAAGGAATTGTAACTAACAATCAAAGTCTTAATTGAAGCAATAAAATTTAAATGTCTCAATTTAAAAATAAAATAATTTTATTTAACTTTTTATTAATGTTTTATTTATTTAATTTTTTAAAATAATTTTTTATAGATATTTTATTGATGTTTTATTTTAAAATTTTGTTTATGTTTTATTTAATTTCATTGTTTAAATTTAATAGATGTTTTAATAGATGTTTTATTTAAACAATTAAATGTTTAATTTCAACAATAAATAATTTCATTTATTTAAATTATGTTTTATTTAAACATTTAAATATTTGTACATCAACATGTTTATTAAATTATTTCAACACCTGTACATCAACATGTATATTTATTTAACATCAATTAAATTATGTTTTAATACGTCAACATTTGATTACATTTACATTTGTTAATAGTTAATTACATCAACATTTGTTAATTGTTTAAACATAATCTGTACATCAACATTTATTTAATTGTTAATTGCTAATTGTTTAAACATAATCTGTACATCAAAATAATTTCAATGTTAATTGTTTCATTGTTTAAACATAATCTGTACATCAACATTTATTTAATTGTTAATTGCTAATTGTTTAAACATAATCTGTACATCAACATTTATTTAATTGTTAATTGCTAATTGTTTAAACATAATCTGTACATCAAAATAATTTCAATATTAATTGTTTAAATAAAAATTTAAACATTTAACCATTAGTATGTTTAATTTCAACAATAAATTTTTATTTGTTTAAATAAAAATAATACGTACCAGTCAATTTTTTATCAATATTAGTATGTTTAAATATCTTTAAACAAAATTTAACCATTAGTATGTTTAATGTTTACTAAAAATAATTAAAATATTAAAGATATGTTTAATATTGCTATTACTTAGTAAACAATTGAAAAGGGATAAAATAGTCTTTTGTTCATTAATCCTATCCAGTTCGTCCAACCAAACGTTGGATTCACTGAAAATAGCCCTATCCAGACATCTAATCCCATGAAAAAATAAACACAGGATACATATCCAATCCGACCAAATAGTCCGGGGGATTGACAGTCCTAGGACTCAAGTCCGATAGATTCTAATCTCCCATTTTCCAGTCCGTCCAATCAAACACACCCATAGGGTGTATTTGTTTTGAAGGATTAGGGGGTGGGATTGGACTATTAGTCCCACCGGATGAATAGTCCATTGTTTGTTTTATTTTTTTTGCTCCGGACTAATAGTCCCCCGGACTATTAGTCCCACAAACATGAGACTATCCTATCCCATGGGGGAGGGTGGGATAGAAACCATGGGATTGGTATTTTGTGAAATGTCCATTTTACCCTCCATGTTATTACTTAGCAAGAGCACCCAAATATCGAAATATATTACTGTCATTGAAGAGATTAGAACCAAGATCCAACTTCTCCAGCTTCCTCAAACTTGACAACCCTTCAAATCCTGCAAAAACTACTTCCATTCCATCATAATAAAACATGAATTTTTATATGGGTTGGTGAGCTTATTTTTGAGCTAACTTTGGCAATATGGATTGTCAATTTTTTAAGATTGGTTAAATATAATATTTAAGTGAAAGTTTAAATGATGATATAAAATTATAATTGTTTTAATAAAAAAAAATAGATGACAATTATAATGTTAAAAGTAGTCATTTATTTTTTATAATACAAATATAATTTATCAGTAGGTTTTTTTTTTTAATATCAAATCACATTTATATATTCAAATTACATTTATCATTTATTTTATATACAAATGTGATTTAATGGAAGGACTATTGATATCCAGTTAATTTGATTTTTTACAGATATGTTTTACCTGATAAACTTTAAAAAGTTTATAATTTAGATCATTAAAATAGACTCGGACTATTTTGGGTAGTGACTTATAAGCGGGCTTTTTGGCTTATTATAAAAAAAAAATGTGCAAAAAATAAAAAAGTGATGTGACCCAAATAAATCAGGATAAATTACCAATAGGTTCTACTTTTGGGACTTATTACCCATTAAGTCATATTGATATCAGCCTCTCTTATTTTTATGAATAAATTTATAAAGATAAATTTATCAATCAGGACCTGTAGATAAATAAATCTAATAATATTCATAAGTTAATTGAGGTGGCATCTCTTCAATGGTGAACTTAAAATATGAGGCTTTTGCCTGATTCAATTTAGAGATTTTTACCCATAAATCCTATTTGATGTACTTGTATTTCATTAGATTTTGTAATTTTTTTCTTAATCAATAAAGTCTCGTCATATAAATTTTATTTTTTTTGGTCAATCAATAGGAAAGTAATTACAAATATACGAAATATTTACATCATCAAGTAGACTACTATCCCATCATAGTGAGAAAATCAACTAATAAACTAAGTCCAAACCCAAACCCAAGCCCAAGCCCAACAACTACTAATCACAAACAATCCCTATAATAGGGAAGAAGTAAATATCATCACAAAGGGTATCAAACTCCTCTCCATAAGAGTTGAATCCAAAATTTCACACCACAAAGGTGCTACAGAACCACAAGACCAAACGCCCTAGTTACCATATAAGTTGTTTACATGATTAAAGGGTGCCTCTATTTACCCCCAAAAGATTGGTCCCTACACTAAAATTTATTCTATTAGTTTGGACATTCCAAATAATACCCATTATATCCCTAAAATCATATAAAATATATTTAGTACACCCCCATGAAGTTAGAAGTTAAAATTTTGAAGATACGAAAACACATAGTCGAATATATATATATATATATATATATATTTGAATATTCAATACTTAACAAAATTTAATTTATTTGGAATCAAATTTCCAAACATATGTAATTTGTTTGGAATATGAAGAAGTTAAAAAAATAAATGTTCGAAAATATAAAGTCAAACATAAATAATTTGTTCGGATAATAATTAGTGAACAATGTCAAATAATTTAAAAACACAGTGCTGAATGTATGAAATTTCTTTAAAAATAAGTTTCTGAATAAATTATAATTTGTTTGGTACTGAATTTCCAAACAAATTACGTAAATCCATTGACCAAAAATGATGAAGATTAATAGAAAATATACGCTTTATACAAAATAGCTTGGAAACGTTTTTTTCATTGTCTGTTGTTAACTTTAATATGAAATAGAATGCAAAAATGATAGATTCAAGAAAAATATGAAGATGCAAAATGAATAAAGTGAGAAAAGAAGAGAGAAGAACAAAGGAAATAATAAGATTGATTATGAGATGGAGTGTCCAAAACACTATAATTTGTATTTTTTTTAATATCAAATACCTTTTAGTCATTTTTAATAGTGACGTAATAGTAATAAAAATATTTTATAAAGTAAAGGTGTACAACCAATCTTTTGGTTGCAAATAAAGCCATCCAAAATTAAGTCTTTTTTCAAAATTTTAGATATTTTTACCTTATTTATGTGGAAGAATTGAAATAGTCAATATACTAGGGGTTAGCTCCTCTCCAGTTTGGAAATGAATTGGACAATATTGTTAAGCTGTTGTATACTCGACTCCGAACCTATCTCGACAATCTAAACCGTTCAATATGTAGAGTTTGTTGAGTACATCATTCTTGTTAAAAATCAACTTGATCAGATATCGATAGCCACTTAATCAACATGCATTTATCTCTGCAATTTATTTTTAAAATCATAATTGTCATTGAATCAAATGCAATCTGATCAAATAACTATCAATATCCGATCAATGTGATTTTTTGCAGGGATGATATACTCAACGGGATCTACATATCGAATGGTTTGAATTATTGAGATGTTCTCGGAATCGGGCCCACCACGGCCTAATAGCACCGTCTGGTCTAATTAAAGACTGGAGAGAAGCGGTGGCCATATATTTATCAAAGCTGCTACAGGGCCTGAAATTGTCAAGCTCGAATTTGCCCCGAATCCAAAATGATGTCGTTTTGGATTTTTTTTTTTCCTTTTTTCTTTCTCTCTGTTTTGACAATTGAAGATGAAAAGAGAAGATGAAGCAGAAGCAAAGAAGAAGAAGAAAAGAGAAGAGGAAGAAGAAGAAGAAGAAGAAGGAATTTTAGTCGCCAAAACCCTTACTTTTGGCTACGAAATTGATTTTAGTCGCCAATAACTATGCATTTGGCTACTAAATTGTCTTAGTCGCCAAAAGTTAACACTTTTGGCGACTAATTGCATTTTAGTCGCCGATTGTCCTACTTTCAGCGACGAAAATTCATTTTTTAGTCGCCAAAGCTGGATTTTCTTGTAGTGTCTTCCTGCTCTTTCTCCCCATCTTTTCTCCTTCTTCTCTCTTCCTCTTCTCTTCTCTCCTTTCTCTCTCTCACCTCTGTCTGTCTGTGTTCAAACAAGAAAAGGAAGAAAAAGGAAAAAAAAGCAAGAAAATGAAGAAAAAGAAAAAAAAAAAGAAACCCAAAACGACGTCGTTTTGAGTTTTGAGCCAATTCGAGCCAAACGATTTCGGGCCCTCAAACATTTTTCTATATTTATATGGTAACTATTATTTTTTATACTTCAAATTTTAGAATCCTATAACTTTCAATCTACACATTTGTTTTCAAAAAAAATTATATTTTTTAAAATTAATCGATGAGATCTATTAAACAAAATCTTAATTGAATATAAAAGTATGAAAAATAAAAAATAGATATAAAACTTTACACTTCTTTAAATTTGAAAATGTAACTTTTAAATTTTCAAATTTTTTAGACGTATTTTTAAAATTTCACATAGTTTTTGAATTGAAAATTTTTAAAATTTAAATTTCTAATAGTAGAAAATTTCACATATTTGAAATGTAAACAACATAGAAATAAATTTCAAAGTAAATTTTTATAGTAAGACAAGTTTTTTTTTTCTCCTTTTTTTTAAAGATTTTTTTAAAGTGATTTTCATATTTTTGAAATGTAGAAAGTACGTTTTCATAATTTTTTTATTGAATATTTTTGTAATTTTATAGTATAAAGTATTTGAATGCTCACACTTGTTACAAATAAAAATAATGTGATTTTTTTAAAAAAAAGTGCAAATATTCACATTTTCAATGAATAAGAAAAATGTGAATGCTTGAAAAATATGAATATATTTTTTTTAAATGTGAATAATTACATCAACTTTTACACTTTCTAAAAAAGCATAATATTTTGTATAATTATTACATCATTTAAAAATTCGAACTAAATAAAAAAATAGATTATAATGTAAAAGATAAATTAGATTAGATACCCTAATGAAATATTATAAGGAAAAAAATCAATAAATCCTATTTTACTTTTAAGATTACTATTAAGTGTTTCAATATGGACAACTAAGTCATGTTCGTAATAAATAATTCCCAAAAGATCCATTGCTTTATAATGGTATATTTTATCCCAATTTTACTTTATTTAATATGAATAACAATTTTATAAATAATTTTAACTTAATAAAATTTAAATTTTTAATTGTAAAAATTATTATATTATATTAGAAAAATCACAAATAACAATTTAATTGAATCAAGTATAGTATAACATATTATTCCAAATTATGAATTCTTTTAGCGAAAAAAATCTAAAAGGCTAAATTCTATTAAAATTACAAAGAGCTAAGAAAAATAATACCATAAAAAATTTATGTATTTCTCAATCATGAGATAGTTGATGGATCTTATATTTATACTTTTGTTTATGAAAATTTATTTAATTTGTACAATTAAAAATAAATTAAAATTATTTATGAAATTTTTGGTTCATATTTCAATGTGAAAGATAAAATTAAAATAAAATATACTATTATGAACAATTGAAAAAATCTAAAAGGCTAAATTCTATTAAAATTACAAAGAGCTAAGAAAAATAATACCATGAAAAATTTATATATTTCTCAATCATGAGATAGTTGATGGATCTTATATTTATACTTTTGTTTATGAAAATTTATTTAATTTGAACAATTAAAACTAAATTAAAATTATTTATGAAATTTTCGGTTCATATTTCAATGTGAAAGATAAAATTAAAATAAAATATACTATTATGAACAATTGAATTTTTTTGTAACAATTATAATAAAAAAAAATTAAAAAAAAATTATTTGTTAATATCAAAATTTGATATAACTCAATAGTAATTCTCAAAACAATTTATTGATTATTTTTTCATTGTGGTTTATGATTTATTTTAGGAAAATTTATTATAAATTCTGTTTCAAATACTTGTATCCTAATTAGTCCATAACATATATTCTTGAATTGAGCCCTTAACAACTTGGTGTGCAATACTTTGGACTATTTTGTACTTTTTATACATTAAACTTTAAAAATTCATAATTTTTGTTGTACATATGTATATTTTTTATGAAATTTATATTTTTAAAACCTAGTTTTTGAGATCTATCAGATAAGATCTCACTTGAATATGTAACTTTATAAAATAAAAACAAATAAATAAATTTGACAGTGTGAATGTTCACATCATGAAATATTCATACTATCAATATAAACATTTATGCGCACTTTACCCTATTATTATTAGGGATATTTTGATAACTATGTCACCCATTGGACTTATTAAAATATAAGAAAATAATTTGAATTAAGTGGAACATAAGTAGGTAAAGAGAGATTTATAATTAAATACTCCATTCTTTTTAAATACAATATCATATTTTCTACAATTAAAAAATATTACTTTACTTAAATTAAAAATATTTATAAATTGTTGTTCATATTAAATGAGTGGTTAAATTGAGATAACATACATCATTATGGAGTAATGAACTTTTTGAAAATATTTTATGAAAAATAGGACTTATAGTAATCTTATGAGTAAAATAGGACCTATTGGTTATTTTTCCATATTATAATTAAGTTACATATTGAATTGAGGTTCCCTTTCCAAATTTGAAGATAGGGTTTTTTGGTCATTTCAAAAGTTAGGAAGAATTACTTGACGGTGGAGCATAGAAAAAGAGTGCTGCTATTAGCACTTGCCAAAATTCTTTAGACCCCCCATTTTATAATTTTTTTTTTTTTTACAATTATACCCTAAAGTAAAATTACATTAAAAGATACTATTAAATGGAACACCCACCTATCAATAAGAACTAATACTCTATAATATTGGACACCCACCCCCACCCCCACCTCCAATTCCAACTATACGTATTCTATATTTGTAAACCCTAAACCTATTACTTTTCATAACCAACTAACATAAACCCTAAATCTATGATTTTACATAATCATCTTAAATCTTGAATGTGTCATCTTCATTACCATCATCAACGCTATTGAACTTGAAAGTTTTGCTTCAAGTATAACATATACTCCATCACCTTATAAGTTTATCTGTCTTGCATTAATATTCTCGGTCGTTTTCGGTCGTTCTTGTTTCGTTCGAGCTGTTCGGCACTAGTTTGCTGACTGTTAGAATTATGTTCGGTAATATAGTACTGAACATTATCCTTTCGTTCAATACATAGGTTCCGAACATTGATGCAGATAGTCAGTTATGTAATTTTCGTTGTTAAACTAACTTAGAATGGAAAATAGTGAATTTGAATGGATTTAAGTTATGTATTTTAAATGGATTTAATTCATGTTATTTTAAGTTGTGAATTGGAATGGATTCAAGTTACACAGTGATGAACAAATTTTGTTCGGACATACAGTGCTGACAGGATCATTATTGTTCGACAAAACAGTTTTGAACAAAATACATTTTTTCGGCTACACAGTGGTGAACAAATTGTTTTGGGCTACATTCAGAATTCTGATGGCGATTCAGACGATGATTCTGATGGCGATTCAGACGATGATTCTGTTTTTCCTCATCTTGCAAACGGTTATACAAATCCCGTAGAAATTGGAGTATCTTCGATTGATCTCAGCGATGACGAAGATACAAAAAGCAACGAAGAATATAATGATGAGAGAATGAGAGAGGTTACTGATTCGGCGATACGGAGAGCGTTCAGAGAAGATGAGAGTCACCGGAATGCTCTATTGACGGTCGAGATGGCGACGAGAGTGATGGAGGGTTGGGGTCCAACAATTCTATGCTGGACCAAAGCTCCAAACTTTGAAGATTGAGTGAGTCAGGGAAGGAGAAGGATGAAAAATTAGGTGGGTGTGCATTTCATTGTGAATATATTATGAATATGGGTAGATTTGGTAATAAGTCGGGTGTCCAAAAAAATATTATTAAAATTTAGGGTTTAAGGTTGGGGTCCAAAGAAATGAGGGGTCTAAAGAATTTTGGTAGGTGCTAATAGCAGCACTCTAGAAAAAAATTAAAAGAAACATATGGGGTGCAAGTGAATTTGTGGTGGGATGCAAGTTGCACCCCTCCATGTTTGTGTATTTTCTTTTTCTTTGTCTAACTATTGAGTAATTCTCCTTAAGAAAATATGGAATTGAATTGTAAATTATGAATAGAATTAAATGGAATACAATAAATATGGAATTTATCAATAAAAATCCCTTTAATTTCTTTGTGATATATATACATATAAATTGAAAGGGTCAAGTTACTAATGTCACTAAAACTTAAATTATTAAAAAAGAAAATATCCAAAATGTATATCAAGTTACGAATATAAACTGAAAGTGATAGATCATCAATTGTTCCTGAAGGTTTCAATTGTCCCTAAAAGTTGTTAAAAAGGGAAGAAGAAGAATATGCTAAAAACAATATTAAGAGTTGTTAGTAATAAAAAAATGTGTAAAAGTATTTTAGAATATGTGAAAAATGTATTGGAATTACAAATTTTTTGGCCAGTTATGGTGTTTATTGACAACCCTAAGGACGGTTATTAGCAAAGCCCCTTAAAAAGTCCGGCACAATAAATAAATGAATATATATATCTTTACTACTATATATTTTATATCAAAATCACAATTTATGTTTTTTACAGATTTACCAATACACCCACTAATAAATCAATAACATATATATATCAAGCTAACATAAACTAACTTAAAATTCTCCTATTTTAATAATAGGCTCCATTTGGGGACTTGAATTTGTAGTCAAAAATTAAAATTCACTATAAATTATCACATCATTCTATTTATTTTTTTATATGCATTTTTTTAAAAAAATTAAAAACTTAATTTAAATAGTCAATTTTCAAACGGGATGGAGTTGGGATATTATTGTGCCCAAACACAAGGAGCCTAATTGTCCTTCTTGGGTGGGCCTATTTATAGAACGTCAAGATGATTTAAATTATTTATCTTATAGAATAGGTAGAAGATTATTTATATATATAAAAAATTAAATTAGTTGGACTTGGATAACTACATAATCATATTACATTTTTCTTTAAAAAAAAAAATTAACCATAAATTTGATTTTGAGAATAAATTTTTAATTTTTTAAAAGAAAATATAATTTGATTATATAACTACTGATACCTAATTAATTTAATTTTTACATGAATTATTTGATAAGTTTTACAAATTAAATAGTTCAACTCATCTTAATAGAGCCTCGAGTAGACTCCATTTAAGTGGAGCTCGTACAGAAACTTTTGTACATTTTAAGATTTGTTTAGAAATGTAAAATATAAACAGTCATACGGTGTCCCAGATTTGTTTAAAAGATTTATTTTTTATTTTTTATTAATGAATCAAAAAGATCTATTTGAATTATTTAACTGTTTATATTGTGCGATTCATTGAATAGATCATTTTTTAAAATAAAAAAAAATAGGAAGCTTACGTATAGGTACTAATAGGTGAACTTATTGTCCAATAGGTCCTATGCTAATTAATGGTATTTTTCAACAAACACTATTAAAAAAATTCACTAATTGTTAATTTTCAGTAATAGTTTGAAATTTTTGTCATAAGAAATGTCACTAATTATATGTTTTAGCGACAGTTTAAAAAAATTGTCACAAAAAAAATATCACTAATTTTCAACTTTCACTGACAATTTAAAAAATTTATCCCAAAAACATCACTAATGCTAAGTTTTAGTGACAATTTATGAAACCGTGACAAAAAAAGGTCACTAATTGTCAATTTTTAGCGACATATGTAAAAAATCATCACAAAAAATTATTTTTAGCGACGATTTTACCAGGATTTATTTTCAATAGGATTCGATGGGAATTAAGTTAAACTATTAAGACTTATTAGTAGTTTACCTTAAAAAATCAAGTTAATTGGACATCTGTAACCTCATAATAAAATCACATTTATATTTAAATAAAATAAACAATTAGCATGATTTTCATAATCTTTTAGAAAATAATTAAGGCTTAATCATATGTTTATGCATGTCTAATTAATTTTATTTTTCATATATAAATAATATAAACCTTATAATATGAATCATAATAAGTCCGGATAAACTCGGGTGGGCCATGGATCATATTAGCAGAGTTACGTACCTTGATTGTCAATCCAACCACTAAATAAATTATAAGACAAGTTGAGGTTTCGGAGCTCTTCGAAAGGAAGGAAGACAGAGACATTTATGAACCAAATTCTGTTTTGGTGGTATTCTTTGAAATCTACTTCAGATCCGAAAAATCCACTAGATCTGTAAAAATATTCATCGCCTGATATATCTCTTATATTATGCAGAGAGAGCTCAGTCACGTGCCCTGTGGTGGGATCGCATGTGACTCTCTCCCAATCACAGCACTCATTCAGATGATGATCTGCTGGTTTCTCAACCCAGGTAGGGAGGATACGGTCTGCATCAGCACCGTTGGATTTGAGGAAGTCCTTGAATTCCAATAGACCCCTCCTCTCTCCTTCCAAGCAACCACCACTGTGTCCACTGAAATGAATCAAAACTATTAGTACCCACATAATACCAAACGTGCCCAGAAAAACCAAACCCATTTGTGCAAAAATTAAAAAAAGGAACTATATGAATGTAACCAACATATAGTTCTTTGTATATATATAACAATCTATGCTGTGTATATGCAAAGCTTGATCTAACATGCTTGGATTGGGTTGTACAGGTGGCAAGCATCCCGTGGATCTATGGCTGATAATTATGGTTGGGTGTCCTCCTCAGGACTTTGATTATCCTTGATGGAAAAATGATTTGGAAACCATTAATAGTTGAATAAGAAATTAATTTTAAAATGTATCATTTAAGAATGGTTTTAAGATAATATTTATTTAATGTAAAATTTGATTTTATTTAAATAAATTCGTTAATTTTTTGGGTCAAAATTGAATATGATTCGATTTAGAATTCGAATTCTTTTAAAAGAACGATCATGTCTTTTTAGTTATACCTTTTCATGAAAAAGAGATGACTCTTTTGAAAAGTCACCATAACCATTCGAAGAGCCACCAATTCATCTATATAAACAGGCGCCATTGCATTCATTAAAAAAAAAAAATATCATTTCTTCTGCACTCTCTCTTTACTATAAGAGAATTCTACACAGTAAGGTTTGTCAGACTTGTCGTGGTAGTGTTGTTTCTGCAAGATTCGATTTTTATATCTTGGAAGACAAATGTCCAATAAAAACTCGTAAGCACCATAGCAGGGGACGAATTTGTCTTAAAGAAATTATGTCCAACACAAGTCTCGATCAAATTGTTATCAATTCCAGATTTATACAATCTGTTTGTAAGTATTTATAGTTCTCTATATATGGTTTGGTTTGGTTTTACCCAAACAATTTACATTGTTTTCAACTTATATTTTTCATATAATTAGATAATATATTTAGTGCAATGAATATGTGTTTCACACAGTATACATAAGGAATTATTCCTACAATCTTAAGACAAATTTGCATAAGAATATTTTTTCTTGTTTGCATGTTCACATAAAATACAAATTTTTCTTTTGTGATTTTTCTAGAAACTAAGCGTTTGGTAACATTTACGTTTTTTGTTTATGTTTACAAAAATTTTACAAACTAGTTTTTGTTTATTTTTAGAAAAACATAAATTATAAACGCGTTTGGTTTGAACAAAATATTTAAAAAAATTTAAAAACATAAACTAAAAAATATGTTTGTTCAGGTCTAAAATATTTATATTTATATATATTATTTATGAAAATGGGATCACACAAATTATAATTGAAAAAAAAATTAATTAAAAAAATAATTGAAAAAAAAAATTATTTGAAAAAAATTATTTGCAAAAAAAGGAAAAAAAATTAATTAAAAAAAATAATTGAAAAAAAATTAATTGGGAAAAAAAATTAATTGAAAAAAAGATTAATTGAAAAAAAATAATTGAAAAAAAAAATAATTGAAAAAATAATTAATTGAAAAAAAATTAATTGGGAAAAAAATTAATTGAAAAAAAATTATTTGAAAAGAAAATTAATTGAAAAAAATATTTGAAAAATAATTAATTGAAAAAAAAATTATTTGAAAAAAAAGACTGAAAAGAAAAATAATTGAAAAAATAATTAATTGAAAAAAATTTAATTGAAGAAAAAATAATTTGAAAAAAAAATTGAAAACTGTGTTTTTTTCTCAAATTTATAAACTGAGACAACCATTTATAAACCAAAAAAATTATCAAACAAGTTTTTATGATAGTTTTTTTTAATTTTTGTAAATATAATAAACTGAAAACTGAAAACGGAATGATTACCAAACAGACCCTGCAAATCTATATTATTGATTTCTGACTTAGTTTTAGAATATTTTATGATTAAACTGTGTGTACATGCGTAATTGTTTTACTTTAATGTGCTTATTTGCCATGATACACGTCTTTAAGTTTCGTGTCGTAACTACACCAGATCAAAAGTTGTGAGTTTCTTTCCTAACTACTAGTGTTGAATAAATAGGCTTGTGTATTTACTTCTTATGCCATGTTTGGAAGTTTGTTTTTAGTGAATGAAATTTTCATTTTGATTGGTGGAGAAAACTGGGGACTTACCAATTTGGGTGGGCTGATTATGATTATACTTTTTGGATATAGAATATACATATTTGAATTAATCATATTTTGTGGATTGGTTTTCATAGTTAATATAATCCATTGGATGATGGTTTTCAAAGATTTACAGAAAATTGACTTATCAATTTTTATATTTATTTATTGTTCATTGATGTATTTAATTATTTTTATCATTCATTGATTTTCACACAAAGGCACTTGGTGGTGTCTGTTATGATGATGATGATGTAGTATGAAGAACATCTAATATAAATACTGTAGCCTATTTTCATTTGAAAGGTTGTTTGTCATTTATGCAGAATTTCTCAACATTTATAATAGTACCGTTGTGCCTTTTTCTTACTTGCTCCGTTTGTGTGGGCTTTTTATATCTAGTAATGATGGTTAACAAATTATAATATTCTTTTACCTACTTTGATAAATATATGGTGATCCTAAATTGAGTGCTTTTAAACTTTTTATTTTTTTTTGAAGAGTATATATCATGTAAATGTCATATTTTTATTTGTTATGGCAGTAGCATATTTGCATCATCATGTCAGTTGACATCATAAAAGTTTAAATACGATTATTTAAATGGTAGTGTCGTTCCATTTAATTGCATATGTGAATCGTGCAATCTTTTGATAACCATACAAATGAATAGATTATTATTTTATTAATAATCATAGGTCTGAATGTTGTGACATAGGTTGTCATAAATAATTATGAACCAAGTGTAGTAGAATTGGTTTAACCATGAATTCAAAAATCTCATTTAATTGTATAAAATTTTTAAATGCATTCAAGAAAAAAATAGTTGTACAATGCATTTAAGAAAAAATACTTGTACATCCAAATTGAAATTTAAACTTTTAAATTTGAATACTTCTTGTTCGAGTTTCTATGGATAACATGTTATAAATCGTGATTAGCAGACAATTTTGCTTCTTTCTCCCACATTTGTGATAATACATAAATTAACACAAATAACATGACTCATTTTCAAACAAGTGTTACTGTCACAATGACTCATTCTTGATAAATTAATCTTTTAATTACTCAAAAATTTGTGACAAAAGAAAATAAATTAAAAGAACTTACTGTTCAACAATTGAAAAAGCAACTCAAGCAGTAAATCTAATTTTTGAGGTTCCTCGAGAGTGTTATTATTGTGTAGGTTTTTCTTACTGTGAGTTGTGATTATATAAAATAATGTACGAAATGAAGTATAATTTCATATATAGAATCACTATAAAATTTAAATGACAAATCCATAATATAGAAGGCAATTTAGCATTAAAAAAAAAATCATAATACCCATGAAAGAATTAAGAAGAAAAGCGTGAAATGCAAAATTGGTATTGGGTTTGTGGATTATTTCAATTTACCTTGAAAAATATATATTAAAAAATATTTATCAAATAGAGTCTATATAAATTAGGTAAAGTTAGTCTGATTTAAATTAAGTTTGGGTTTGTGTAGAACTCTATATGTAATTAAGAAAATGCATACTAACGTGGCTCTCTTAGAAAAAAGTTAGCCCTTATAATGTGCCACCTAAGTAGAGAAAAAACACTACTTTTAATAATATATATATATATATATATATATATGATATCTTCAAAATAGAGAAAAAACACTACTTTTAATAATATATATATATATATATATATATACATATGATACCTTTGGAAGATACACTATGATTTCTTTTAAGGGAAAAAAAAATGAGAAGGCTTAAAAACATATTGGGTCTAACTCAATCTGATTTGATCCTATTGAAAACTCCATGATCTCTAAAATAACAACAAATCATGTATATTTATTGATTATTTTTGTACTAAATACTATTAGAAGTTGTATTATTTATTTATACAAAATAAATATTTGTAACATTTTAGGGAAAGCTTCCCTCTTTCCCAAATATCACCCAAATGCCAAAATCAACTATTTTGTCACAATACAACCTCATTTTCAAACCCCATAATCCTTTATATCATATTCACATAGAAACCCCTCTTTTGATTTTTAACCCAAACCCTAGGTTTGTCCAACATACTCCCAAATCCCACCATTGTTGCACAACAACCAATAACTAAGCGAAAAATCATATGAAAGTGTGGAAAAATCCCTACCTCGAAGTTATAAGACCAAAGGAGAAGTGGAGAAACTCCAAAGATGCCGAAAGCAAGGTTGATGCGGATCGAAATGTAGCTATTGATGTGCTCTACCTTTTTAACAAAGGCCCAATGATGGAGAAATCACTAGATCTAGATGAAAAAGTAGAGAGAAGGTAGGTTTGAGAGAGAGAGGGTATCAACTTTATGTTTTAGAGAGAAATAAATCTGAAAACGTGATGTAAAAAGTCATTTTCACGATCTGGTATACGCACAATCTGCTCGAGCGCAAGAAGTGACGCTCGAGCTTCAGACATAATAAGTTATTCCGCTTGTGTGCAAGAAGTGCCGCTTGAGCGCCAAGACACCAAGAAAAGGACGTTCACCGCTTGAGCCCAAGAAATGACGCTCGAGTGTAGAAAACACACATCTAGTAGTTTTGCAAAAAATAAACCAACGCTCGAGTGCAAATAAGGCAGCTCGAGCGTTCACCCGCTCGAGCATTGGAAATGCCGCTCTAGCATAGAAAACACTCTACCTGTAGTTTTGCAGACCTGCAAAAGTACTGAGAGTTCGCAAAGCCCGCTTGAGCGCAAGAAGTGCTGCTCAAGCAGAAGACCAAAAATCTGGGCAACAAGAGTTTGGAAACTAGGCAACCAACCTGTTCCAAACACAACCACAACAATCCCAAAGCCAAGTTTAAGGGAAAAGAAGGTAAGCAAGACATGTTCAACAATACGAAACCAAGAAACTTGTTTTCCAGATTACAACAAGGGTCGGATCAAAACAGAAGTCGCTATAACCTCCCCCATTAAAGAATTTCGTCCCCGAAATTTCAAATCAAGTTTTACAGTTATACTTAAACCAATTACAATGCTGATAACTAATCAATTCTGCCATCATGACCCACTCTCTGATCATTCATTTTCATCAACGAGATACATAATTTCTCAGTATTTAACAAACAATTCATATTTTCCCAAAACATAT